TTTTGAGTAGATCTAAAACCAAATACATGGAGTATAATTTTAGTAGTAATAGATCTCGTGGGGGGTTTGTGATTTTGAGCGATCAAGTCATTAATAAGAGTACGTATTTTTGATATATTGGGTCTATTGTTCAAACTGACGGTGAAATAGATGGTGATATTATTAGTAAAATTCAAGTTGGATAGATGAAGTGGAGAAATGCATCGGGCTTGTTGTGTGATAGAAAAGTACCACTCAAACCTAAGGGAAAATTCTATAAGATGGTGGTTAGACCTGCAATGCTTTATGGCGCAGAATGTTTGCCATTAAAAGAGAAGCATAATATTAATTTAAGTCTTGCAGAGATGAGGATGCTCAGGTGGAAGGGTGGCTTTACTCTTAGAGACAAGATACGAAATGAGCATATACGTGAAAATGTTGGAGTAGCTCTAGTGGCAGATAAGATTAGAGAGAGTGACCTTCCGATGACCCGGTTAGGTGAGTAGATATATTAGATTTAACCTATGTTAAGAAAGGTAGAGATAGACCTAAAAAGTCTTGGTTAGAAAATATTATAAATGATATTTATTTATTAGATCTAAATGAGAAATTGAAACACTATGGAGAAAAAGGATTCATGTAGCCGACCCCATGTAGTAGGATAAAGGCTTGATATTGTTGCTGTATTGATATATAAATATATATTGGATAGATGGACGGGTTCATTTGGCCGGGGTTTGTGTATGGTTGGTTGGGCTAAACAAATAGAGAGGAAATGAGAGGAGGGGCTTCAACCTGGGTAGGGACGGTCGATGAGAGCCATGCGAAAAACACGAAGAGGCGAGCGGGCGTCTTCGACTCTTGTTCTTGCATGCAGCATACAAAGAACGAGTGATCGAGCGGGTTCCTGCGGTTAGGGTTTGTGTGGCTAAGGAAGACGAGAGTGAGAGGGGGTCTTCCACGTGTAATCGAATGAACAAAAAAGAGAGAGTCAGGCGTATGGGGAGGTTTCTGTGTGTGAATGAACCGAGAGAGTGAGAACGAGTTCGATTATGAGATCTCATGCGTGATGTTTAGTGAAAACGAGAGGGGCGTCAGGCTTGGGGGGCTTGCATGCGGTTGTTGGCTTGGGTAGGGATAGTCGACTGGAGTCATAAGTGGGTCAGGTCGAGCACGGGTGGCCTAGGATGGAGGCGTAGAGCGGGGTTGGATCGGCACGGCTTCCGCGTGCAGGACGGAGAAGCAAGCGGGAGAGCCGGTCGGCTTCGGCTTTTCATGCAGCTCAGGCAGACGAAGGGAGGGAGTCTTCGGCTTACTTGTGTGTGGCAAAGAAAAATGAGAGAGTCGAATGGGAGTAGTTGGGTTCTTGCAGCGTGAGAATCCCATGGGATAGGGCGGTTTCTTGTGTGCGGGAAATAGAGAACCAGAGGGGCGCCCGTTCAGTTGTGTCGTTTGGGAGTCTTCTACATATGGGAAATAGAGAACCCTAGAGGGAGCAAGCTGTTTCGAGCGGTCTAGTTTAGTAGGTAGTTATGTTAGTAGGCGGTTAGTCAACACTGACTAATTATTTTAAAATCTAAAGGGAGATGGGATATATCGCCAATCCCAAACTCTTTTGAATCAAATATGATATCTATGACATATAGGTTTGATATAAGCAATGAAATCAATGCTTTTGATCAAAAGAGCTAATGTAAGGCTCATGAATTGACCTTCATTTATTTTTAATCCCATTCTTTTTGAGTAAAACCTGGTAGACCTTTTTAAACAAGAAATTATTTTTCAATGTTTTTATTTCTTCTATCTCCCTCTCCATAATTCTTATGTTTTTTTTTGGGTAATTCTAGTTACTATATAATTTGATTCGGTTATTAGTTGATATAAATTTTAAATTCCCTCAACATGATTACTGTGTAGTCGTTATCTATTATTATTTCATCCATTATTAGCAGCCATATAATAATAATAATGTTTGAAAGTAATAACTGGATGCTTCTAGGTTATAGGACTAAAGGCAGCAGGTGAGCGAGCGGAGAATGGGAAAATATTGTCTAGAGCTCATGGCATGCGTGAGATGAGTAAGATAAGGATATACACAATACGTTATGATGAAGATATTTGAAATTAAAGTTGGATGGGACAAAAAAGTATACCATACTTTATCCTAAAATGTTTAATGGCTAAGGGGTTGAGTTTAAAATGGTTTTATATAGTTGTAGAGATTTAAAAGTGGCAATTATCCCTTGCTAAAACTTATACAAAGCTTTTCACTCCTACTGAATATTTCAGTGCCTTTCAGTGCCTATTGGTTATTTGATTCATAATTTCTCATTATTTTGGAGATCAAATTAACCTCTTTTGTTTTGGTTAGTCACAATACTTTATCAATTATGGATTCCATTCTTTTCCTTCATAAATTTATGATATTCCTTCAAATTCTTTGGCATGGTTTCTTTCAAGTTTCTATTTTGATTCCCTAACAACTCGTTGCTGCATTTTTCCCCTTATATTATTCGAATTAATTTGTTCGTATCTCATCTCTTTAACTTAATTTGGTTAATTTTGTCATCATAACAGGTTGACAAAGTTCGAGCTGGTGTTCTAGTGGGAACAGGCATGGGGGGGCTTTCTGTGTTTTCTGATGGTGTTCAAGCTCTGATTGACAAAGGCTATAGAAAAATAACGCCATTCTTTATTCCATATGCCATTACCAACATGGGTTCTGCTTTGCTCGCTATGGACATTGGTTTCATGGGTGCAAACTATTCAATTTCTACTGCTTGTGCTACATCCAATTACTGTTTCTATGCTGCTGCAAACCATATTCGTCGAGGAGATGCTGATTTAATGATAGCTGGAGGAACTGAAGCTGCAATCATTCCCATCGGTCTTGGTGGATTTGTTGCTTGTAGAGCTCTATCCCAAAGGAATGATGAACCCCAGACTGCATCAAGGCCATGGGATAAAGGTCGTGATGGTTTTGTTATGGGTGAAGGTTCTGGAGTACTGGTATTCTGTCTATAACTACCCTTTTCTCATTCATTTACTATGGAGGTTTGACATAGTTCTGTATTAGCATATCTTGTATGGTTCATCATCTGCATCTGGTATCCTCATTAATCTTACATTGGTGCTTATTCAAACTTTGTTTGCCATGTTTATGATAGTTGTGTACATACCATTAGTTTTGTAATGTTGGTCACTAATTTTTCAGCAATTAGCTTTACAGCAAGGATGGTCATATTCTATGACTGAATGTGTGTAGGACTACGTGCAAAGGCGAATGCAATTGATTAGAAAATTACACATACATGAGTAGAGCTTTGCAATTAATTAATCTTCTCGCGTTTCTTAGTAAAGTTTAAAGCCAACAAGATAGTGATTAAGCGTAGACAACCAATTACATAAGAAAAGATTAGGATCATAAAATTGTCACATCAATTCAGACCATGCTAATGTGGGGCTTTGAAAAGAGAATACACAATTTAACAATTAGAATAGTCACTATAAGCATCCACTCACTTACACTCTTAATTTGTGGCTATGTGGATAGATCTTGATGGTTGAACGATGTCATGATTGAGGGAGGATTAAAAGGAGCGAGGAAAGGAGAGAGTTTACCCACAAAGTAGAAGATACGAAGCAACGGCAGTAGTGTTGGCTGTTTCTGAAAGAAGGGCAGCAATGAGACTTCTTCTCTCAAGTCCAGACATCAATCTAGCACCTTCCAAAAGTGTAGGCAGCAATCAAACAAGTTATGGAAATCTGGACAGCAAGTTAACTCGTGCTGGAAACGCCGGACAACAAACTGGGAAGTTCTGGACAAGCACACTAGAAGATTCTGGATAGCGGGACAGCAGGCTAACTCTCGCTGGAATCTCTGGACAACAAATCGGAATGTTCAGGAAATCTGGACCGCAGTCTTGTCAAAATCCTAGAGTAGCAGCTTTAGGAGCAACCATGGGGTGAGGAATTTATCCCCAAGTTGAAAAGGTGAGTAATTTGGATAGAAATTATTAGAAAGGAGAGAGTGGGGCCGGCGGCTAGATTGAATTGGGGGAAGTGATTTGGGGAATTTAGGAGCTTACCAAACATATTATTAGTAAAGGAAAGAGGAGTTAAGGCAAGTTTCAAAAGAGGGAAGGGTGAGAGGGTGGGGCCGGCGGCTTGCATGAGTGGGGGAGATTGGATTTGGGTATTAAATACTTGCCAATTCTAGAATAGTAATTAGGGAAAGAGAAATTATGACAAGGATCTATTTGAATTCAAATTGGCATGATTGATGAGCTTTCTAATTATAACTCATCTTATTTTAGGAAAGAAGTTTCAAATTTAAATTTGATTTAAATCTGAAAATTGACTTTCCAAATTTACAATGAATTAAATTAAGAAAGTGTTGAGTACTAGGCTTTGGAAATTGGAGCCAAGTGGAGGGATGATGGTCAGCGGCTAAGTGTGGAGGTGGAGCTGGCGGTTTGGAGAGGGCTGGTGGGGTTTCTTGGCCAAGAAAGAAAAATAAAGGGGGAGGGGTGGGGGTTTTGGCCAAGGAGGGAAAAAGGAAAGGAGGGGCATTGGGTTGGCAGATTGGTGGAGGGATTTGGGAGGATGGGCCAGCTGAGCAAGGGAAAGAGAGGGAAAAGGGGAAGAATTGGCGGTGGAGCGAACCACGAGTCCGGACGCTTCCTACGGCTGATTGGTAGTACTTTACCATCACCTAGGGACTTAAAACTCTCCAAGAATTCTCACATGAACTCTTAGAACTTACCAAGAGACAAGTGCAGTAAATTTTCTTCATAATATTCATCATCATCTCAAAGGAGGGGAAAGGGGATATAAATGGCCAAAATACAATAATATTTTTAAAGACAAACGTACCCACTAGGGTTAAATAAACCTGCTCCCTTAAGTGAGGGTAAAAACGAAAAAGATAATTAAATCAAATACAAATAATAGATAAAAAATAAAGTGGCCTAATCATGGCAGTCGACCTTCTCTGATAAATTTTTCATGGTCGGATATACTCATCACCTTGTGTGCGAGAAGCTTAACACTGTGGGTCTCCGAAAGGATTCTGCTCGTGTGGTTCGAATGCAAAGGGTACGATCACACCATCCCGTAGGACAAAATGGTCGTAGGCCTTTACACCCGACACAAGCAGACCGATGGAAGAGCAGATGGAGTTATAGATACGATTAGCCATGGAGGATAGCGGCTCTCACCTACCAACCTCGATGGATAATAATATCTATAACCCAAAAGTTCACGAGATTTCCCACATTCGATACATCAGCTCGAATAGGGTTTATTTGATTGTGGAGATCGGTTTCCTACGGGCGCAAGCCCCCGTAGTTAATTACATCCTAAGCCTTGACTTAGGAAAACTCTCGATTAAGGATGTTAGATTATCTTCTCCAAATGGGTTTAGTGCGAAGGGAAAATTCTAAGATTTCCTAATCAAAGAGAAAGAGTGTCCCAAGTTGGCCTAATCAATCACACATGGTTCATTCAACATCCGGTCGGCTCGAAGGAGTGGAAACTAGGGAAAAAGAAGAGAGGCAAAGCATCTCAAGCAAGCATGAGAGAAAGAAGGAGGTGGCGTCATCTATGTGACGCAGATGTGCAGGATTTATAGTCTCCGAAAGAATGAAGAACTTACCCACCAATAAGGTGTATAGAGGTACACTTGTACCCCCCACCTTTAGACCCTAAATCTATAAAAGATGTAGTGTTGTACACACAACACTAGCATCTAAGACCTAACTAATGCAATCCTAGACTTATATCCCTGCCTGAAAAGGGAAGCCAGCTAAAATGCTAAGCACAACCAATCGTCCTATATGTATGCAAGATGGGAAGGGTCTATCCTAAGGAATCAAGGATTTGTAGTTCAAAAGACTTGAATCAGGGACTCTACAATATGCAAACGAATATATATAGCGTTGTTAATGATGCATGAAACAAATGCACGAGTAAGAAAGATCCTTAGGTCCACTAATGCATTGCATGTATGTAAGTGCATTATGGAGAAAAGTGTGTAAGAACGTATGCATGACATCCAGAGTACAGAAAAAGTAAATAAACACACCCTAAGGGTACCCTCCAGGCAAGGTACCCGCACAAAAAATCATTCAAACGGTGCCCACTGGCACAAATAGGTGGCCTAGTCTACAGGCCTAAATGACACTAATGGTCTCTAAAGCTCACAGAAAAAAAAGGAGGGGGTATCGTACCCAAAACCGGAAAAGGCCAAAATCCTAGCAGAAAAACAACGATGCCCATTTCGTGTGCGAAAACAACGATGTCAACCGGCACAAATAGGTGGCATACTCTACAGGCCTAAATGACCCTAATGGTCTCTAGGGCTCACAGAAGGGAGGCAAGCTTTGACCTATAAGGCCAAAACTTCGATAGTGAACTAACCTAAGGCCAGCTACCTAAACATACTAGAATACCTATTAACAAGTTGTGTGTGATGTGTAACAATTCGATACATAATTAAAAGAAAATTGCTTTACAAGTTGCAGAGATCATACCTGATTGTGGCGCTGCTACTTAAAAGCTCCAAGCAAATAAGCTATTCTCCATCGCACAAAGCATGTGGCGCAGCCACTTAAAAGCCTTAAGCTAGCGAATTACCCCAATGTACCTCGCAAGACAAGTGAAAGAAAAAATACACAAATGAGCGTAGATGCCATTCATAAAAGAAATGCAGGTAAATAAAAATATTATAATTAACTAGAACTTTAAAATTAGCATTTATCAAGCATGTGCATGTAGTAAACATTGAATCAACAGAAGAAAATGTCAGCCTATCCTAAGACTAGGAGTCGTGCCCTAACCAAACCAGTCTAAGGTGTATGTAGGCTGTGCAGTTTTGGATAGATCCTATGTAGGATTATTTAGTTGAAATTATTTGTATTTTGATTTGTTAAAGGGTAAAAAGGAGATTTTAATTGAAGTTGAAATATTAGTAATTTAGGATTGATTTAGAGATATATTTTCTTATTATTTGATTGATTATTTTTGTTGGTTGTAAATTAAAAGAAAAGGTAGATTAAATGATTTATTATCAGTTAAGGTTTGACTTAAACCAATTAAGAAATTTATTTTTAAAGTTTTGCCACTCCATTGAATCCATTCGTGGTATTGTGCCACCAGGCTCGAGGAACCAGGCCTCCTTAGGACACTTAGCCCCGCAGCCCAGAGTAGTCCATCCAATAAACTTCACTTCTGGAGTGGTTGTTATGTATTAAGGGATTTGTTTATTGATTTTAAAAGATTACTCTAAGTTTAATCTTTAAGAGTATTTTTATCCTAAGGAATCTTAGCTTAGGTTTGAATCTCCTAATTAAAGTCTACCTCTTTTAAATTTTAGGTTGGTTAGGAGATTATTATTAGTTTAGTTATATTTGACTTAGATTTATGTTTTAGATCTATAATTTAATAATTATAAATGTTAATTATAAGTTGATTAAGAATTAAGTATTTTAATAGATTTTTAGAATTAGATTAAGATTGGTTGGTTGATTATTAATGGATTAGGGAAACTAGAATTTAGGAAGACGTGTCACTAAGTTTTGTGTTGATGTCTCTATCCTATAAGGAGTATGCACCTTAAGTCTATGTTTTCTAAGACTCGGTCCTTAATTTTTGTCCTTAGATGTCACTAAAGTTGTAGAACTAAGAGTGGTGTTGTTTTCTAATCCTTAGGACTCTCGTACATGTATTGCTAAACTTAAGAATCTATAACAAAGCTGTAGAAAGAAAAAGAATGAAAATCAGAAATAAAAGGGATGTAGGCATTATTGTTATTGGGCACACATCTGTGAAGTCAAGTGTACCCTAAAGCAACATTAACAATGCCCTTTGATTTTTCCACGGTCCAAATGAGGCACTTGATATGATGGAGACATCTACCTACAACACCCTCTAAACCAAGCCCGAGACAACTAAGAGAAATGACTTCCAAGACCAAACTTAAAATTAGACTCTCTTTTGTTTTATGTCTATCTAAAATTCCATATTTTAGAAACTAACACTAAAGGGAAAGCTCAAATGAGCGGGGGACTGTCTTGCTCCAAAAGACATTAAAAACCTCTAACACAGAGCTCCTAAAGCTTCAAATCCAAACACTCATTTTTAGAATGGACTACTAAGAGAACCTAACTCATATGGTAAAGCACTAATCATTCCTAAAAGACACTAAAGGGTTTACTAAACAAGTCTAACAAAATTATAGATCTTAAAATAACTCACAAGAACTTCTAAATGAACTATTACACAAAACCTTCCAAAAGTTATATACCAAAATTCCTTCTCTTTTCACACAAAATCCTACCCAACAACCCATAATCAAGTGCATCTCCTTTCGTTTGGAGTGGGGTAGAAAACCACAAAGCTTTCCAACAAGAAAGTTGTATGCAACCTCTCATTGTAAAGCCTTCATCACAAAACATTCACAAAAAAAAAATCCATCGATAAAGCCTCTCGATGTAAAACAATTCGCAAAACTTCTAACCACAGAGTCATTCATAAAATCTTTTAATACAAAGCATTTCATAAAACTTTCCAAACCATGAAGACATTCACAAAACTTATTAAAACTTTCTATAAAGTCTCCAACAATAAAACGACTCGCAATGCTTTCTAATGTGAAATCATTCTTGAAATTATTTAAATATAAGACAACTTATAACATCTTTTTTTTTTTAGACGACTCATAGCAGCACATGTATTTAATGTTAGAACCCAACACTTTTTGATATCTATCACATAATTATGCAAGAAAATGCTCATGCTAACAAGAAACAAAATAGGTGAGTGGCCAAATATCTTTGAAACCAATAAAGATTTTATGAATAATAATATCAGGACGGAACCATAAATAAGAAAAAGTCCAACACTACTTGCCAAGAACTTATTACCCATACCAGATCATAGGAAGAAAAGAAAAATAACTTTCTCTACTTGAAGCAATGAGATCTTTCCATAAGACATTTTCTAACCTTTCATAAGGATGATACTAACATGGGAATTTGCATGAGGATAACAGATTTAAATATCCATATGTAAACTTGAGAGAATGAACAATATAAAAGGAGAGAAACTTGTAATCATACATATAGTGCCTTTTCCACTACTTTAAAAGATTACGATCTCCAACTAATACATCTCTTAGAGATTTAGAAGAAACTAACATTTTTTTTTTTTGAAACATAGGAGAAGACAACCATCCTGACCATAGTTAATCTCAAAAAGAAAGCTCAAACGACATATTACGAATCCTCCATCGAATAAAGTCAACAAAGCTTCTCATATTGAACGAATGCCAAGAGAATGCAATAATCTATAATAAATCTCCAACTTGCTCGTGGTTCTAGAAAAGCAAATAATTCACAAGCCCTTGATAACGAACATGTAACTATTAGAACGTAATAAAACCATCACCTTTCTCACCGAATACGTGGATGCGACATTGAAGCATGACAGTTTCTATGTAAGTTTGACAAGCACAACAAATTCTCCAACCATACATGTGATTCTATGATATAAACATGTACAAAAATCTCGTGATGAATATACAAAACTTTGATATTGAATACAAGCGTGATGTCGATGCTTAGATATTTGCACAACTTTCTAACATGATTTATGCTTCCGATTAATCATGAAAATACCTCAAGTGGTCTGACATGATTTGCTAAACTTTGCTTTCAATATCTATAGTGAAAGTTCTTTTCCTTACTAAACATGTCTCCAACTAGTTACGGATCACAAAAGTATGCATGCCACCCATAAGATTTTGAAGCCATGGAGCAGCAAATCCCAATATCTAAAAGAAACATGTATATACCAATGCCAAAATCTATAGAATGATGAATCTTTAACCCATAAATGAGATTCCAAAATATATGAAGTAGGCTACCAACACAATATTGAAAGTTTAAATATTCATAAACATTCAAGGCTAGGTGAGAGCTTTAGTTCTATTAATTAATCTATACAAGTGTTTAGAAATCTCAGATTTTTGCTAACAAAACTCCAAACATTGCATTTAAGCAATTTCTAAATGAACTAGCTTATCATGTAAAAAACCCAATGCAAGCAAAAATGACCAAGCTCCCTTTAGTAGCATTTCACCAAATGCTTAGTGTGCATGGTTTGATGTAAGACCAACATGATCTCTTAAGATTTGCCACCATTTACGCCTAAAGCTCTAAATCATATGACATAAAGCAAGTGTAGGTTCATATGCTAATCGTTCATTCCAAAACAAGATAAATCAACATGTTGAATAGAAGTGTGAAACAACAAATTGTGATGGAATCGACCACTCAAAACCCCTTAAAACAAGGCTTCAATATAAGTGAAATCTCATTGAATCATTGCACCAAACAGCTGATGTTCGATTTTCATAAAGGGGCATAAAACAAATTAATATGACAAAGCTCAACTTATACACCTATTTGGTTAAGCACATCTAACCAATCTACACAAGATTGCTCATGATTTTTTATAGTAATCATCTCAACAATATGCATACATGTAGAAAATGAAACCAACAGAAATTTCATTTCTCAGATTTTGCAAATGAGAAGTCATCTTCGATACCGCATTACTAAAGCAAAGTAAGAATAAGACAACCAAATCTACCAACTAAACGTCCTTCCAAATCCACATACTATGTAGCCTTCATAGCACCAACAAGCATAACAAGAAAACTTTCAGTTAACATAGAAGGGTAAATTTTCATCCAAACTATTTCGCTCTAGGCAAGACTTCTCTAAGACATTCCATTAGATATTTTATATGCATGCTTAATGAGGAAAGAACATTATTACCCGAGCCTTGCCATCATTCACACCTAAACTCTATATGACATGATATGGAGCAAGCATAAACTTCTCATACTAGCCACACACCCTCAAATGACGTAGCCTCAACACATCACTTTGCTTATGCCATAAGACACCATTCATGATTATCAACAACCCTCAAAATTTCCCAAGAACACTAAGATATCATTTGACAATCAAACAAGCACCAAAGCACTGAACAACAAGAGATTATAGTGAGGATTTTACCAAATCAGCCTTTTAACAAGAACCAAATCATTCCAACTGCTAGCTTGGAGGAAGTCGGCAAAGGGGGCTTCGGCTCTGTCCAGGGTTCACGAACCGGACACCGAATGAAGGAGAAGGCTCAGCCTTCGGGTCTGCCGTGAACCAGAGAGACGGAAGCAAGGGGGTTCCTCACGGGTTCGGTCCGGAGAAAGAGATCGGGGGTGCGGCCGTCGGGTTCGATCTGGAGGTTGGACGGGAGAGGGAGCTCCGTCGAGTCCGAACCAGGAGACGGGATCGGACGGAGGTGGGTCGTCGTGACGGTTCGCCGAAGGGGTTCAACCCTACCTGGGGTCGGACGGGCTTCGGCTAGGGTAGGCGACGGGACGTCCGGCCTTAGCTGGAGTTCGCGAACACAGGTAAACGGGAGGGGGCTTCAGCTGACCTCCGTGAATGAGAGAGAGTGAGAGAGATATGAGAGGGAGAGGGAGCTCCGTCCGGGAGGCGAAGCCGGGCAGTCGGACTCGGCTGGCTCACGCGAGAGAGAGGAGGAAGGGGATCGGGATTTTGCCTGGGATCTCCGGAACCAAGAGGGATAGAGCGTGAGGGAGAGAGTGCGAGATCGAGAGCAAGCCCCAAGATACTGCGGATGTCCGTGAGAATCACCCAACTGAAGGCTACCTCTCCGCCTTCTAACGTCTCTCAAAGCTTTTCTCTGCTCCGAAAGCTCAAAACGACACTGTGTCGCCCAGATGTGCATCCGAGACTCCGACAAAAACACCGAAGTAGGTGATCACGCGACTGAAGCCTGCAGTCGTGACAGAATTCAAATTTCGGGGAAAAATAGTGGACTAGGCTCAATGGATTTGATCAAATCGAATCAAAGACGATTTGGGTCAAATTGAACTCGCCACAGTCAAAACAAATTGTTCGAGCTTGATTGAACGTGATCGAATCTAATTTGACTCAATTCGGATCGATTCGAGTTCAGATTGGACTCGACGGGGTCTCATTAAATTGATTGAGGATGCTCGAGAGTATTTGAGTGAAAATTGAGGTCAACAAACACTAGCAATAAAAACCAACAAGATGTTTATAAGAAGCTTGGCGAGAGTGTGTGAAAAGAAGAACCATCAAGAAGCAATTAATTTTGGCGGAAAAGAATGGAGAACAAATGAACAATGTTTTGATTACTATTAGAAATAATGTAGATAACTGAATGTTCACTCCTAATTATTGCAATAGAATGCTAAATCGAGCCATGAAATTTGACTCGGGATTTTGTTTTTAGTTAGAGTCAAGTCCATATTGCTATGACGAAACACAACATAACATGCGAGGTTACGCTTCACAGGCAAGCAATATGTAGGGCTACCTTTTTGTTCTGCTCCTAAAACGTACTGGTGAAAACCGTTATGAGATATAGCTGTTTTTATTTGGCAGAAAAGAATGAGATTTTTTTTATAACGTTGGTCAGTCTATTTATTTGTCACGTTGGTCATTCACTTCAAGTTTTTATTTATATGGTGTCCCTACTGTAGGTTTTGGAAAGCCTTGAACATGCAATGAAACGGGACGCCCCAATTATTGCAGAGTATTTGGGAGGTGCTGTTAACTGTGATGCCTATCACATGACTGATCCCAGGGCTGATGGTCTTGGTTTGTCTATTTGTATACAGAAAAGTCTTGAAGATGCTGGTGTAGCTCCAGAAGAGGTATGTTAATTTTCATATTTTGCGTATTTGCTCTGTTGCCCCTTTTTCTTTTTCCAATCCATGCTGGGTTGTTTTCTGCGTTCTGTCATTCAATTTTTTTCTCATTATAAGCTAGAAATACTTTAATTGTGAAGGCTTGCTTGCTATTGTTGAATGCAAATTAGTGCAATTTATTGTCATATTTAATTTTTGGGGCAGTGCTCTTCATGTAATACAATGTGCTGGTGAGCTTGCGGTTTCCCATCTAACCATGTGGAAACTTGTTTCATTGGCCTTGTTCGTGTGATTGTAGCTTCGAAGTTTCATTGGCCTTGTTCGTGTGAGTGTAGCTTGGAAAGTTGAATGGCCTGGTAGCTTGGGAGATCCTGCCCCCACAAGTATTCCTTAATAACAATGTATATTAGTGATTTAAATATAATCATATTCTCCTACTTATTTTTTTTAACTGTTATTGTTAAACTTGAACATAATACTAAGTTAAGTGTTACTTTATGGTGCTGAATGTTGGCCATTAAAAAAGAAGCATAATACTAAGTTAAGTGTTGCAGAGATGAGGATGCTTAGAGATAGGATACGAAATGAGCATATATGTGAAAAGGTTGGAGTAGCACCAGTGAAAGATAAGATTAAATAGAGTCGCCTTAGATGGTTTGGTCACATTAAACAGAGGCCTTCCGATGACCCGATTAGGAAAGTTGACGTATTAGATTTGACTTATGTTAAGAAAGGTAGAGGTAGATCTAAAAAAACTTGGTTAGAAAATATTAGAAATGATCTTTCTTTATTAGATTTAAATGAGAATTTGACTTTTTAACAGAACACAATGGCGAAAAAGAATTCATGTAGCCGACCCCTCATAGTGAGACAAAGGTTTGATGTTGTTGTTGTTGTTGTTGTATTATTAAATTTGAACATGTATACCTTACTGCAGTTCTCAGACCGCCTGCATGCTTATGAAGAGGACATGGGTTCATTTCTTTTTCAGTTTCTAATTTTCTGTCTTTTGGGGTATGGGGAGTGGCATTTACATAAAGAAAAGGTTTGAATCTGTGATATATGTTAAGTTTAGAATTAAACAAAAACTCTTGTACAAGGTCCAATGGGATCGTAGAAATAATTATTCAATCAAATACAAGTTTCTATATAAAGCACACCGACTCAGATAAATCAATTTGGTGCTAATTTTATTTTATTTTTATTAAATAAGATACCACATAAATTGACTTGTGATATTCAATAAAAAAACACATATGAATCATGTTTCTATTTCGAATAAAAAGTAAGAATAAATAAATAAATTTAAAAATAGAAGGTGATTCCAAGCAACTCCCAAGTGATTGTCAGTTGAGGATAGGGTTGGCCCATACCTAACCTCTAACCCCCTTTGAAAGCTTCATTAAGCATGTTGTGCTTGTTGGCCTCAGCCTCACCACACACTTGTTGCTATGCGAATCATCTCGAAGGTATTGAACTTCTCAAACCTTTTGTACTCGCAGGATTCTATTATTTCATGGTTCGGTGGTGGCAAAATACTCTTTTTGAAGGGAGGAATTAATCCATAATAAATCTTTTGGTGCCCGAAGCACGCCGGCCCATGCTTAAAAAACAAACACAATAAGTCAATTCCATGTAGAATTTTTCTGGGGTCATATCTTAATGTCTATTTCAATGTTTCTAGCCATTGTCTATCGTTATTTTAGCACTTTAGATAAAATTTTATTTAAAATGAGATGAATGATGTTCAAACTTTATGCATTATTTATTATTTTATAGGTTAATTATATAAATGCTCATGCTACATCTACACCTGGTGGTGACCTTGCTGAGGTGAATGCTATAAAAAAGGTTTTCAATAACTCAAAGGATATCAAGGTGAATGGAACTAAGGTAGATGTCTCCCTGTTCATATCTGCTGATAATTCTTTTTTATAGTCTTCATTTTGTTTTCTCTATAATATTGTGGTTCTGTTTAACGTTATTTCTACCTTCAAACAATTCTACCTGCAGTCCTTGATAGGCCATTGCCTTGGAGCTTCTGGAGGTATGGAAGCCATTGCTTGTGTAAAGGCTATTACTACTGGGTGGTTGCATCCTACTATAAACCAATTTGTAAGTGTGCCGTTTTTTCTTTTTCTTTTTGCATGACTTTTTACCATTTAAAAAGTTAAGGTAAAATTTTAAAGGGAATTTTTACACTTGTAATCTCTTTGAGCCCAAGGAAAATGCCATGTGAACTACTCTTTAGTCCAGAGCCCTGAATTTGGTACCCATATCCACACCCACTCATGTACCCACCCATACCCGGATACTCAACATCGGGGGATAAATCGATTTACATTGCTAATCACTGTATGTCTTATATTATTGCAATCCTCACTAAATAATATGCAACACTTAACCACACTATGACTATGATAAATTTTGATATGCGTCTTAAAAGTTTGCAATAAGATCAAAGGGGAGCAAGCCTCAAGGCCATCAATCCGTGGCAGATTGTTTTCAAAAAGCATAAAAAGTGGGCGGGTCTAAGTGGGTATGACATCCCGAAAGTCACCATTGGTGGGCGTGGGTGGGCGAAGCCCGTTCGAGTAAAGCATGGGTACCCAACCAGGACCCCATGTAGGGCTTTGCTCTTTACTAGCAAAGGCAATAGCTCATTCCGTAGCTGATGTGAAAAAAATTAACTTTTAACCTCTTTTTTTTATCTGTAGGATCCCGAGCCTTCAGTCGAATTTGATACTGTGGCTAACAAGAAGCAGCAACATGAAGTCAATGTTGGTGAGTATCAATTAAAGCACAAATGCCAACAACTTCTTTTCGTTGAAAATTTGAATTAAGTGGAATTGATCCGATTCCCCTTTTATGATTTCAGCCATTTCTAATTCTTCTGGATTCGGAGGACACAACTCAGTTGCGGTGTTTGCGCCATTTAAGCCATGAGGTGATTTTTTATGTTAATTTAGGCTCCGTTTGGAACAACTTTTTTACTGTTTTTTTTTTAAAACAGCTTTTTAATACATAAAATCAAAAAATTTATACTAAAAAACTGCTTTAAAAAATAATAAGAAAAAAAGTTCAAACCAAAGTCTTATTCTTCTTCTGCAACTTGCTCTTTTGGTATCAGTTAGAGCTTAACTCCACATTTAAGAGAATCCAGAGGCCTAGTCAACTTTCCCATTAAGTTTCTTTCTAAGAGTTTAATTCTGCTTCTAGTTGAAATTCTTTATTGAGAGCCGTGTTTTATTAAGAGTTTGGGCTACGTTGTTAGGTCATGTGGATCCAGCCATTAGAAAACTGATAGGAAATACTTGAGTTCCTAAGGTAATACTTGAGTTCGCAAGCAATCCTAGTCGAAATTAGTCTAAAACAGTGAGAAAAACTGCTGTCCCCAGCAGTTTAACAGCCCCTTCATAGCAGGAAATGTACCCAAACAGAGAAAAATAAGGAAAATAAACAAGGTTTCCACTAGTAGATGCAAGAAAACAAAGAAAGATACAACGTTCTTCGATTCGAGAGGAAGAACAACTCTCCACAAGTCTCTAGCAAACCCTAGAGCCCAAGCACACAATGAGATCTCAAACTTCTCATTCAAATTCAAGATGATCCCCAATTTCCCCCCAATCTTCTAATTAAACAAATTAATCATAAAGGACAATAATTAACTTCCTAAAACAACCTCTCACATTCAAGTTTTCCCTCCTAATAGCAAATAATACAAGTTTGGCCCACCGATGAGTCCCGCCCCCTTGTTGGGTCTGTTCCGGCGTGAATAGACTTGGACCGGTCCAGGCTGGACCGGTCCAGCCGGCCCCTCATGGGCCAGCGGCTTATTATACTCCTCTCCCAAAAACTCACATTGTCCTCAAGGTGAAAGGAAGGGAATTGCTCTTTCATTCTTTCCACTAGCTCCCAAGTAGCATCGAAATCGGGAAGGCCTCTCCACCTAATCAGCACTTCTTTGTTGCCATCCTTATATGATCTTACGCCTATAATCTCCAGAGGCTCTAATTTTACTTCCAAATCCTCAGTCAGTGTCACAGGTCACTCAGTGCATGCTTCCCAATAGCTCTCCTCAACTGTGATACATGAAAATTTGGATGTATGGTAGCTGATGGGGGCAACTTTAATCGGTATGACATAGCTCCGATCTTATCCAACACTTCATAGGGGCCGAAGTACCTTGATGCCAATTTCTTATTCCTCCTTGCCACTGTCCGCTGCCTGTAGGGTCGTAATTTGAGAAAGACTTTCTCTCCAACTTCAAACTGCATCTCTTCTATGTGAGTCTGCCTGCTTTTTCATGAGTTGTTGGGCCCTCAGCAGATGTTTCTTCAAATCTTCGAGCACCTTGTCCCTTTCTTCCAGATACTGCTCAACTGAAGAGACCTATGTATTTCCTTTTCCGTAGGCACTAGGTGTGGGGGTCCCTTCCATACAATACCTTGAAGGGCGTCATTTGAGAGGCAGAATGATGCGAGGTATTATACCAATACTCCGCCCAAAACAACCACTTCGCCCACATCCGTGGTGTTTTCGAAGCGAAACACCTCAAATAAGTCTCCAGACTTCAATTTACTACATCTGTCTGCCCATCTGTCTGTGGATGGTAGACGGTGATTCTCTTGAGGATAGTCCCCTGCAGCCGGAACAATTCCCTCCAAAACTGGCTGAGAAACACCTTGTCTCGATCTGACACTATCGATTCAGGGATCCCATGTAGTCTAACCACTTCCCTGATAAATGCTGCTGCCACTGACACAACAGTGTAGGGGCGCAATAGGATAAAATGTGCATACTTACTGAGTCTGTCTACCACCACCAGGATAACAGTGTACCCCTCTGATCGCGGTAAGCGTCGATGAAGTCCATGGACACTTCCTCCCATACTCTATTGGGAAGTGCCAAGGGTTGTAGTAGTCCCCCTGGAGCCATAGCCATGTATTTGTTCCTTTGACACACTTCACATCTTGCCACCATTTCCTCTACATCTTTATGCATCCCCTTCCAGTAAACCTCAGATGCCAGCCTTCTATATGTCTTATGAATCCCTGAATGACCTCCCACTGCAATGCCATGGAACTCTTGTAACAGCTGAGGAATATGTATTGAGGTTCTTGGCACTACAAACCTTCCTTGATACAACAACCTCTCCCCTTCAATGTAATAACCTGGATGGTTGCTCTTATATTTCATCAAATCCTCCCTGATTTTCTTTAGCTCTTCATTCATCATGCTCTCCTCTTTGATGGCTCCCCATTATACCATCAGTGGCACTGATACAACTCTTGGAACTCCCCCACACATCTAGATAAAGCATCAGCTGCTTTATTTTTCAAGCCCGACCTATACTGGATCTCAAAGTCATAGCCTAATAACTTGGATAACCATCGATGCTCTTCAGTGACCATTCTTTGCTCCAACAAGTACTTCAGGCTTCTCTGATCAGTCCGGACGATGAAATGTCGTCCCAAAAGATAGGGTTGCCACTTTTGAATCGCCAAGACAATGGCCATCAGCTCCCTCTCATACACTGACTTCAGTCTTGCCTTGGTTGACAGCACTTGACTGAAGTATGCTACATGTCTGTGGTTCTGCATCAGTACTGCCCCAAGTCCATATCCTGATGCGTCCTTCTCTACCACAAAGGTCTGACTGAAATCCGATAGAGCTAAAACTGGTACTGTCGTCATGGCATGTTTCAATTTCTCAAAAGCCTGAGTTGCTGCCTCTCCCCATAGGAAGTTGTCCTTCTTCAACTGCTCGGTCAACCGCCAGGCAATGGAGCTGTACCCCTTCACGAATCGCCGGTAGTACCCCGTCAATCCTAGGAATCCCCTCAGCTCCTTTATGTTCTTAGGCTTTGGCCACTTCTGCATTGCATCAATTTTACTCATATATGCTGCCACTCCTTGGGACACCACATGTCCCAAGTATTCCACACTTGTCTAGGCAAAGCTGCACTTCTTCTAATTAGCCTTTAATTGGTGCTCCTGTAAGACTTCTAGAACCATCCTCAAGTGTTTCAAATGTTCCCCTACAATTTTGTTGTACACCAAGATGTCATCAAAGAAGACAAGGATGAACTTCCTGAGGTACTGCTTAAATATTATGTTCATCAGGGATTGGAAAGTAGCTGGAGCATTAGTCAACCCAAAAGGCATCACCAGAAACTCATAATGCTCTTCGTGTGTTCTGAATGCTGTTTTTGGCACATCGGTTTCCTTCATCCTGATCGGGTGGTAACCCGATTTTAAATCCAACTTAGAGAACAACACGGCCCCATGCAACTCATCAAGTAACTCATCAATCACTGGAATTGGGAACTTGTCTGGTATAGTGCTCTTATTCAGAGCCCTGTAATCCACACAGAATCTCCAACTCCCATCCTTCTTCTTGACCAGGAGAACTGGACTAGAGAAAGGGCTAACACTTGACCTGATGATCCCTGCCTCTAGCATCTCCCGGATCAACTTCTCAATCTCGTCCTTTTAGATCTGTGGGTAATGGTAAGGGCGGACACTGATCGGTGTCTCCCCTTCCTTCAAAGTGATGGCATGCTCCAGCTCCCTCTGAGGTGGTAAACCCTGCGGAGGTTGGAAAACCTCCCTGAACTGCTGTACTAGAGGTTGTACTGAGGAAGGAATAGTGCCTTCTTCCTCAATTCTGATCCCTTCCAAACGGTGTAACTCCACCAAGTATCCTCCCCCTTCCTCTTGGATTGTCCGGATTAGGGATTTAAGTGACACCCCAGCCTTGGTCAGCCCAACATCACCTTGGATCACCCTTTTCCTTCCCTCCTTTACTAGCTCCATCCTCAATTTCCCCTAATTTATCTTGGTCTCCCCCAAGGTTTGCAACCATTTCATCCACAGGATGACATTCGTACTCCCCAATTCCAAGGGAAGGAAGTCTTCCTTTACATGGACCCCTTGAATCTTCAAAACTACTCCTCGATAAACTCCTCTACCCATCTCCACCTTTCCCGTGCCCATCATCACACCATAGCCTCCGGTATCCACTAACTCCATCCCCAACAACTCAACGATCTGGTTGGAAATGAAATTGTGGTTGCCCCACTATTAATCAACACAACCACCTCGCGGTCAGCTATCTCTCCTCTCACTTTCATAGTGTGACTCGGGGTGAATCCCACTACAGATTTCAGAGAGACTTCTACCACATTCAGGTGTAGCTTCTCCTCCCCCTCCTCTTCAGATCTGCTTCCACCTCCCTCCTCGTCTTCCTCATCTTCACAGACAAGGAGGACCTGAAGAGTTCGGTCTTTGCACCTGTGCCCCGGCATGTACTTCTCATCACATCTGAAGCACAATTCTTTCGCTCTCTTATCCTGCATTTCTTTTTCCGTCAGCTTTTTGAACTGTCCCACATTTCCCCCTCCACCAGATCGCTCCTTGGGCACCTCCCTCTGGTTCCCTGGGGCTACCCCTTTGGATGGTAATACAGCAGTAGTCATCTTGTACGATCCCCCCTGAATAGTTGCCTCGAGCTCCTCTTTCCGATCTCCTCTGATCTTCTACCAATTGTGCAAGCTCCATAGCCTTGCCTAAGTTCCTTGGCTCTAGCACTCTAACTGCTGTTCGGATCTCCGGTTTAATCCCCTTCATGAAGTTCCCTTCTAGGGCATACTCTGAAATGTGATCCAATCTGCTTGTCAGGTACTCAAATCTGTCCCGGTAATCGGCCACAGTCCCCTCCTGCGTCAAAGTAAAGAATTGCTCATAGAAGTCTCCTCCTCCATCGGCTCGGAAACGCTCTAATAAACAATCCTTGAACTCTCGCCAGGTTCTGATAGGCTCTCTTCTGTCTCTCCACTGGTACCATGCCAGTGCCTTCCCTTCCAGACACAAACCTGCCGCCGTCAGCTTCTCATCATCTGTCAACCCGTTGACAGCAAAGTAATGCTTCACCTTATAGATCCAACCATGACCATCTTCGCCCTCAAAGATGGGCATCTTCAACTTCCTCACCTTCGGATCCCTTCCGTTACCCCGGTACTCTCCATAACCTCCTATTCCTCGAAGAGGAGGTGCTCCCCAAGTGTCCCGGTCCTCCCTCCGGCGTTCCATGTAGAATTTTTCTGGGGTCATATCTTAATGTCTATTTCAATGTTTCTAGCCATTGTCTATCGTTATTTTAGCACTTTAGATAAAAATTTATTTAAAATGAGATGAATGATGTTCAAACTTTATGCATTATTTATTATTTTATAGGTTAATTATATAAATGCTCATGCTACATCTACACCTGCTGGTGACCTTGCTGAGGTGAATGCTATAAAAAAGGTTTTCAATAACTCAAAGGATATCAAGATGAATGGAACTAAGGTAGATATTTCCCTGTTCATATTTGCTGATAATTCTTTTTTATAGTCTTCATTTTGTTTTCTCTATAACATTGTGGTTCTGTTTAACGTTATTTCTACCTTCAAACAATTCTACCTGCAGTCCTTGATAGGCCATTGCCTTGGAGCTTCTGGAGGTTTGGAAGCCATTGCTTGTGTAAAGGCTATTACTACTGGGTGGTTGCATCCTACTATAAACCAATTTGTAAGTGTGCCGTTTTTTCTTTTTCTTTTTGCATGACTTTTTACCATTTAAAAAGTTAAGGTAAAATTTTAAAAGGAATTTTTACACTTGTAATCTCTTTGAGAACCCAAGGAAAATGCCATGTGAACTACTCTTTAGTCCAGAGCCTTGCATTTGGTACCCATATCCACACCCACCCATGTACCCACCCATACCCGGGTACTCAACATCGGGGGATAAATCGATTTACATTGCTAATCACCGTATGTCTTATATTATTGCAATCCTCACTAAATAATATGCAACACTTAACCACACTACGACTATGATAAATTTTGATATGCGTCTTAAAAGTTTGCAATAAGAGCAAAGGGGAGGAAGCCTCAAGGCCATCAATCCGTGGCAGACTGTTTTCAAAAAGCATAGAAAGTGGGTGGGTCTAAGTGGGTATGACATCCCGAAAGTCACCATTGGTGGGCGTGGGTGGGCGAAGCCCGTTCGAGTAAAGCATGGGTACCCAACCAGGACCCCATGGAGGGTTTTGCTCTTTACTAGCAAAGGCCATAGCTCATTCCGTAGCTGATATGAAAAAAATTAACTTTTAACCTTTTTTTTTATCTGTAGGATCCCGAGCCTTCAGTCGAATTTGATACTGTGGCTAACAAGAAGCAGCAACATGAAGTCAATGTTGGTGAGTATCAATGAAACCCCAAATGCCAACAACTTCTTTTCGTTGAAAATTTGAATCAAGTGAAACTGATCCGATTCCCCTTTTATGATTTCAGCCATTTCTAATTCTTTTGGATTCGGAGGACACAACTCAGTTGTGGTGTTTGCCCCATTTAAGCCATGAGGTGATTTTTTAAAGTTAATTTAGACTTCGTTTGGGACAGCTTTTTTACTGATTTTTTAAAAACAGTTTTTAAATACAAAAATTAAAATTTTTGTACTAAAAAACTGCTTTAAAAAAACAATAAGAAAAAAAATCCCAAACGGAGCCTTATTCTTCTTCTGCAACTTGTTCTTTTGATACCAGTTGAGCTAACTCCACATTTAAGAGAATCCAGAGGCCTTGTCAACTTTCCCGTTAATTTTTCTTTCTAAGAGTTTAATGCTGCTTCTAGTTGAAATTATTTATTGAGAGCCGTGTTTTATTAAGAGTTTGGGCTACGTTGTTAGGTCATGTGGATCCAGCCATGAGCAGATTATATTCCTTGATACATTCCTAGTTGAAGAACCATTTATTTTATTTGATGTATTTGTTGAGATCGAAAACATTTATAATAATGATCTTGATATATTTCTCTCTCTCTCTCTCTAGATTGCAAACACACGCCACCACCATCATCACCAACTTCGAAGTACTTACTCTTTATTTTGTTATGTAATAATGATGATACAATGTCTATATAAAAACCTTTCAATATCTTTTGAAGTTTAAGCTATTTACTTTTCCTATTATAACGAGGATAATATGCCTTAGGGGGGTAAAGAAGTCAAGTTGAACTTAGGTTGCCGCTAATTTGAGCTTGAGTTTGAATTTGATTAATTAATCAAATTTGAGTTTGAGCTTGAGTTTAATTAAACGTGTTTGAGTTGGCTTTTGAGCCGACTTATTCATTATGAAATAATGATTATAGTTTAAATAATTATTATAATAAAATAAGAAAAAGTAAGAAATTAGAATATAAATAATAAAAGATTATTTGATAAGAATATATATATATATATATATATATTTTTTTTTTTTTTGAAATTTTGTACTTAAAACTTTTTGAACAAGCATAAGTTAGCCAAACAAAATCAATATAAATATTTGCATTATAAACATCCTTCAAATTAAAAAAAAAATTGCTTTTAATGTAAACATTATGATTAAGCATCTTAAATTGTCTTTAATGATGTCAACTATTGATTTTACCTCAAAACCTCTATAATATTTTTCTCAATATATATTATCAATAAACTTGCAATTAAATCGTATATCATCTTAGTTATTAGAAAGTCCTCATTAATATTACTCATTAGGAATACACATATCTTATAATTTAGTTTTATTTTTATTGAAAAACTTAACAATTTTTATTTTTCAAATAATTTTTTTTTAATTTATATTTGATACTTAGGATATCTTTTCTCATTATTGTATTACTTGTATGATTATTTACTCATCACATAACTCCAATTCTATTAAGATAAAAAAAAAAATCAAAAGAGAGGGGATTGAAGAATCTTATATTATGAATTGGGCTTTCCTTTGGAATGCCATTGGCAATAGCTATATGGTCATGACTCACTACAAAGGATTTCAAGAAAATGAATTTACGCAACTCAATTTGATCTATTGGTTGATAGTTTTGGGTAAGAAATAAAATATTTTGAATTTAAATTTTGTGTATGTGCACTACTAAAATAAAAAAGAAGATTTCATAGCAGTTATTTGGGCAGTTTGAAAACCACCCCAATTTTGTGAATTATTTATTTTATCATTTTGTGTGGCGGTTATGACTGCTGCATTTATGTAACATCGTGGCGGTTTAAACCGTTGTGAAATTCAGCATTTCGTTATATCTACCTCATCGATCTTGAAACCGCCGTAGAATATCGTTGAAGCGCATTACAATCACAACAGGCGTTCAACGGTTTTAAAACCGTTGCAAGTAAATTTGTGGAAGGTAAAATTGTCGGGAAAAGTTCAAATTTGTGCTGCGATAGCCTTATTTTTTGATAGTGCTTCTGTATGTGAGTTTGACTTAAATGAATTAAATGTCTTAAAAAAGAAATGAATTTGAAAATTTGGTTGGACTAGAATGAAAGAACTATGAAAGGCAGTTTTAAATCCCAAGCAATGAACGTAGTTGTAGAAGAGATTGTTTCAAGAATTTGGGTAGAATGGAATAGAAAAAGTGAAAAACTGCAAAAGGGGAAGGTTTTTTCTTTGTTTCATTTATGTAGTAATTATTATTTATTAAAATAATGAGATATTAATATCTAATAAGTATGATTTTTAACTAATTATTAAAAACTTTTATTTAATTACATAAAATATTTATTTTATTACATGTGTTTTCTGTGGGCTCCGAAAATTCGGCCCCGGCCTTCTCGCCGCTTTTTTTTTTCGGCGAGGGGAGTTTTGACGAACTAAGTTTCGGGGTAAATTTTGGAAGGCAAATGAGTTTGTAGATAAGACACTACCCAGAGATTTCGCCCTCATTTTGTGAGGATTTTATAATCTGAGTTCTAGTTTCCTATAGGGGCAAGCCTCTATAGTTAATTACCCCTCCCGGTGACGAGAGAGAACTTTCGATTAAGGCTAGTCGTCGATCAGATACGTAGAGAATACGTGTTATCTGGCATATAGTAGCAGCATGAGTTTAGATTTGGAAATTTGGAAAGTTCAGATATTTGGAATTTGGGTTGGGAGATTTGATATTTAAAAATGGAAATTGCACCATCTTGCACTTAAAGCAGATGGTGGGGGAATGGATGATGGACCCGATCAAGATCCCATGGTTCCGTCGTCCCGTGCCATCGTGATCCTAAGTCTACTTAGTCAGAGGAGGTAGTCGACCCAACCTGACAGAAGGATCCTTGTCAGCAGCCATGGGTTGCTTCGTCCAAGGGGGCCTTGTAGACCTGGGTTGGATGTTTGTCTAAGGGGACAAATTTAAATCCACCTTAGCTTGCAGAGAGCTTTGTGCCCTATCAATCATATCCTATTGATTCATATCTCAAAGATTTAATGCCAATAAGGAACGTATTGGCGCTGGCCATAACCGGTATATGTGGTGCTATTTGGCGGCAAAACCACTTGGTTCAGAGGGTCGCGGGTCATAACCGTTTATCCTACGGTGCCATTTGACGGCAAAACCGCCAGTTAGAGGACACATATCACGTCCTTACTGACAGGAGATTATTTTGAGAATTGATCCTAGTGATATTTTCGACTAGACATTTGGCTCTTTGTGAGCTAAAGTAAATTTTGATTTGTCCACCTTGGCAAACTGTTGCGGAGGGTGGATGGATTTCACTCGAGTGATTGATGTATTTATTTCAATTTTAAATATTTGAGATTTTGAGATTTGTGGAGTTTGGATTTTGAATGGACTTTTGGAAGACATTTGAAGGTATTCATGAACCCCTCCGGTTGAGATTAGCATTCAACACGGTCATCATCGGGGTGACCTTAAGGTCACTAGAAAAATATTTGAATTTTGTAGAAGTTTGATTTGAGGGCATTTTGAAATATTTTGTGAACCCCTCCGGTTGAGATATGCATTCAACACGGCCATCATCGGGGTGACCTTAAGGTCATTTCCATTTATTGATCGAACCCTGTCAACTCAGACAAGCTATTGACTGAGGATCGGGTTTCATAGGTTTCATGCCATTGTTTATGAATTTTCTTTGTTGAAAGCCTTGAAGGCCGAATATGAATGTACAAAATAAATATTCTGGTCAACTTTCGTGACTGCATATTTATCTAATATCTCGAACCCTGTCTACTCCTATTTATCTACTTAGGAGGATCGGATTTCGTAGGCTTCATGCCTTTTGTTTAGTGAATTCTTTTGGTTGTAGACCTTGAAGGCCTAATGTGAATGTATTGAAACAAATACACCGGTTCTCACAACCATGTGTTTGTTTGAAGGTTCGAACCCTGTCGACTTCTATTGATCCGTATAGATGGATCAGGTTCGAACTAGAATTCACTTATCGACCCGCGCAGCATCTCTAGGCGTCACGTGTGTACCAATAATACGCTCGCCGAAGCCCATACGAATGATTTTTATATTGATTTAGATGTACCCCATTGTGTACCTATGTGTATACAAATTATATTGCAGGTGCATGGATACTTTGAAGTATTTATAGTTGTGTAGATAACTATCATTTGGATGCACACAGCTTTTCATTTGAGAGCTTATACATGCCTTATGTCCGCTAATACGATTGTTGCGGATCTGGTGGCATGCGTCTTGATGTTGACTCCCCCTTTCTCATTCACCGGGGACGTTATTTTCTGGATTTTGAGGTCAATGACCGCTTATCTGGAAAGAACTCATTTTAGGATCTTCGGTGTAGTAGACTTATTATTTTCGGTATTTGTGGGTACCAGAGCTGTTTTCTTCTCAAATAAAGAACTAAGAAGAGACTTTAGAACACCAGGAAATTTAGTTATAATTTATTCATACATTTCATCCCTTCTGTCAAAAGGTGCCCTTTTCGTACATAGAGTCGCCCTTGTACTCAACGCACTTGTAGTTCTTGGTCACCATCGTTGTAGGTAATATCCATACTTATGTCCACAGTGTTCATTATACTTACAATACACTGTTGTTATCCACAAGTATCCATTTGCAGGGGACCATCGTATCCCCTACGACCTCCTGAAGGTATTTGTAGAAGACCCATTGTTCTTGTATCACACCCACCTTTCACCAATCTCAGGTGGGTCTTGATTGTACTTGTTTGTAGAGAACGAGTCTTTGATTGCTGGTCTCCAGTATTGTCATCTCAATCAACATGCATTTATAGGGATTGTCACGGGAGTCTATTACACCTACATTGTGTCTTCCTTTCACCAATCTCAGGTGGTTTTGCTAATTGTACTTGTTTACTGGGGACGATCCTCTTTCATACACCGGGCTGCCCTTGTACTCGACGTACTTGAAGATCTTGATCACCACTGTCGTAGGTGATATCCGTACTTGTGCCCACAGTGATTCATTATACTTACAATACACTGTTGTTATCCACAAGTATCTTTGATTGCTGGTCTCCAATATTGCCATCTCAATCAACATGCATCATTGTTTAGTTGGAGATTCCAATAGTGCATATAAAACACATATGCATTCTACAATCATTTGTTGTCCTTGTAAGCAAGTTGCTTTTAACCTCGTAGGGACTGTTGTAGGAGTTTGTTGCATTCATCTTTCGCTTACACTGGAATTTCATCTCTCACTTGCAACTTGTGGTTAATTTAGAGAACTGTGCATTTAGATTCTGATTTGTTCATTCATCCAAGGCTCTGGTCCTATGTATTTCATCGGACCCGAGTTTAAGGTTCAACTCATGCTTGAGTCTTGTATGTCGTTATGGGTTCAACTCTTGGCATCCCATTCAAACTCAAGTCCTTATTTTGGATCCAGCCTGAGTTCAGTTTGAATTCCTTGCTCTCCGCATCTCGTTCCAGTTTTGAATTCAGAGTACAATTTCAAGTTGATTGTTTAGAGTCTTCTGAAGTCCTTGCAGGTTCAATTTCATATTCAATTGATTTGAATTTGGCCTCATTTTGATTTTAT